AAGGCTCCTACTAAACCCTTGAGCAGATCAAGAAATTCTTCTCAGAAGAAGTAATGTCTAAACTGATACCTGAAGCATCAGCAGATAAATATACAGGGAGAACAAGGAACAAATGGCAATCCATTAAGATGAGAATAGTAGCGAAGGACAAAGCTTGAGAAATAAACAAGGATTAGATCATAAAAGGGCTTAAGCCACATTAAAGTGTTTGAGGTTTATCTTGAAGGACTTTAACTGCTTGAGTAAGATGAGTGATATGATCAGATTTCTACTTTAAAAATGACCACTCTTGGGGCGCCTGGGTGGCTTAGTCGGTTAGGCGTCCGACTTTCGCTTAGGTCATGATCTCGCGGTTCGTGGGTTCGAGCCCCGCGTCGGGCCCTGTGCTGACTGCCAGCTCGGAGCCTGGAGCCTGTTTCAGTCTGTGACTCCCTCTCTCTCTGACCCTCCCCTGCTCACGCTGTCTCTCTCTCTCTCCTAGAAATAAATAAAACATTAAAAAAATTTTAAAAAAAAGTGGAGTGGCTTACTGAAGACTCAGTTATTCCACAATTAACCATGAAATAGGGGTTTCTGTCTTATAGGTTGCAGTTTATGCTTTGAACCAGAAATCCTTATATGATGCAGTCTCTCCCCAGAGCCAGGATACNCCTAGAAATAAATAAAACATTAAAAAAAAAAAAAAATTAAAAAAAAAATGACCACTCTAATTAGAATACTCATTCAAAATATCTGTGAAACCATGAAGAGTTAAATGTAATTAGCATAACAGAAACTATTTCAGGAATTCAAAAAAGAGAGAAATCAGTGAATCAGTGCTGGCAGTGATGCCCCAGAAAGGTTTCATGGAGGAGCTCAGCAGGGCTTTTAGGAATGTACGATTTTAATAGGGTAATTCAAGGAAAAGGAGAACTTTCTAGTTGGAAACAGGAAGGTACAAGGAAGATAATTAGCTAGGGAAGTGGCTGTGCAAAAGTTTCAGGAGAATTCCCAGAAGAGTGAATAGTTTAGTTAAGTGAGTGCCAGGTCTGAAGAGGAAGGATGACATCTCAGGGTCAACCTAGAGGTACAGGGCCTCAGGATTTAAACTTCACCAGCAAAGAGATGGCTCATGGCTGAGTTTTGAAAGGAGAAATGCATACTCCAAGTGTTGCATTAGGAAGATTGAATATGAATTGGAAGAGGTTTAAAAACAAGGTTCAGGGGGGCATCCGGGTGGTTCAGTTGGTTAAGCTTCCACCTCTTGATTTCAGTTCAGGTCATGACCTCGAGGTCCACAGGATCTCGCCCCCGCTAGGAATGGAGCCTGCTTGGGATTCTCTCTCCCTCACTCTCTGCCCCTCCCCTGGTTGCATGCTCAAGCTCACTCTCTCTCTCTCAAAATAAATAAATAAACATCTAAAATGCAAAAGCAAAGGGCTCCTGAGTGGCTCAGTCTATTAAGCATCTGACTTCAGCTCCAGTCATGATCTCATGGTTCACGAGTCCCAGCCCCAGGTCGGACTCTGTGCTGACAGCTCAGAGCCTGGAGCCTGCTTCAGATTCTGTCTCCCTCTCTCTTTGCCCCTCCCTTCCTCACACTCTGTCTCTCTCTCTTCCTCAAAAAGAAATAAAACATTAAAAAATTATTTTTAAATATGAAAACAAAACAAGATTCAGGCAACCAGGAGTAGGAACGTGAAAGGAAAAATAAAAGTGAGAGTTTTCTGTGTGAAAAAAAAAGTTAAGAGAGAGAAGTAAAAGCATAAGGTTGAGTGAAGGATGAAGCAAAGTTCGCCTCACATGCCAATGTCTCACACTCACTCCCACGTCTCCAACACCCCTATTATCCCTTCCTCGGTGACAGATTTATCTGAAAAGAGGCATTTCCTGAAGCTTAGTGTTATCATTTGGAGGATGAGAGTCTTCCTTTTTATCAAGCTGTTTAACCAGTACCTACACCTAAGAACTAGGAGGTGAGGTTTTTTGAAGGGAACATTAAAAGAAAAGGACATGTGGAGAATGAGAGAACAGTGAAACAAACAAATGGTCCCACTAAGGCCATTCTTAAAACCCCCTATATCAAATCACCCAGGATACTCATTCAGTTGGGAAGTCCCTGCTTTTTATTTGGGGAGGGGGGTTAGTTTTGTGTATTTTTTTTTTGAAAGAGAGATGGAGAGAGTGAAGGAGGGGAAAAGAGACAGGGGGACAGAGAGGGAGAGAGAAGGAAAGAATCCCATACCCTAGACAGAGCCAGATGTGGGGCTAGATCTCACCAACCATGAGATCATGACCTGAGCCAAAATCAAGAGTCAGACACTTAACCAACTGAGCCACCCAGGTATCCCTTGGGGTGCTCCTGTTTATTGTAGGAACTCCCAAGGATAGAGCAGACTTACACCCAATTGTGGGGCCTCAGAGACTCATGTAAGTCAAAGAGGTACCTCCTCACATTGTTTGGATTGCCTCTTCTACCTGCTTTTTGTACCCTCAGTAATCATAAGAAGCAGAAGGGGATACTCAATTATTCTATTGTCTCCAGTTTAAACGCAGATCGCTTTGGTCTCCCAAAGCAACAATTTAATTTAAAAGTACTTAGGGATGCTGAAAAAATATTAGAAAATCTTCCAAAATTGTCTAACAAACCTCCAGGGTACGTACAGTAGTCTATTACTTGAGAAAAGCTGACCTAAGAAACATCACAGTGTTCATCCAAAGAGCAATGTCATTTGTAAATAAATCTCTTAGAAGATTGAATAAATCCCTGGCTCATCAAAATAAATTCTATTTTCTCAGCCTTTTTCAAAGTCAGAAAGTCAAGCTTCTCACAATAGGCCCGTGTATTATTTATTCTACTTCATCGTGGGTGAGGAAACTGAAGATGCATTCTTTAAGATAGAGATATTAATGGCTCTAAATTTGGTTCCAAATTGGTGTGTCCTGCTGGAATGGATATGAATGCCAGTAAATTAATAGATTCTGAAGAATAGGATTTCATCTGTCACCATTTAATGGATGACTATTGTTTTCCTTAGGACTTTTTCGAACATCAAGTTGATGTGTGTTAGTCCTGATTACATGATAAACTTTCCTCAGTTTCCCTTTGTTTCCAAAGTAATTATGGGTTTCTTTATGTCTCTTTTTGATGCCCACGAAGGCCGTAATGAAGGTAGTTATTTATGTAAACATGAGAACAAGAAACAAGGTGTCAATGTACATATAATTTACTCATTGAGGCACCTGACTTACTCATAAACTGGGAGTCATACTGCTAATAAAGTTAACTGATTTTCCTAAATAATTTAGCATGTTTTCCAGTGTCTTTGCCAACAGATGGCTCAGGGGTCTTTGGTCACTTTATAATTCATCTACACCTCCAGACGCTACAAGATAAGGAGATAATTTAAGTCAAAACAATGTGTGGGCCACAGATATGCAGCTGCAAGTGAAATTCCCCAAGCTTCTTTCCAAGCATATGGCCGCTCCTATTCCTACCTAGAAATACTTTAGTCAGCTGTTTCTCCTAACTGAAGAGACTGCAACTAGACAAAAAATACTTAGGAAGGTGTTTGCTTTATTTTCTGAAATATCTATATACTATGGGGGTATTTCTGAAATATCTATATACTATGGGGGTTCTTACATGTTGAGAACAACATGTAAGTTCTCAAACATTAAACCAAGTGTAATGTCATACCAGAAATGGAACTATATATAGTTTACTGAAGAACATACATAAACAGACCACAAAACCCTTCCAGATCAAAGGCAGGCTGGCCTCTGATACCCCATTGCATCAGAAAGTTCTACTTCCTGAATATTGTATGTTTTAATTGAGGTAAGATATTTCTAATAAAAAAGAATGCTAACCTATCTATAGTGTTATTAGCAAGGATTTTACTGGATTCAAGTCTCCCTATCTGACATCTGAGATTAGATACATCAGAAAATGCTAAAGCCCCAAGAGTGGAGAATGCATAGTATGCAGTATTGCCCAAACATCTCAGACACAAAACCTTTTCGTAATGCAAACTAACGTTGCCCATAAGTGACAAACACTATGCAAAATACAGCACACTGCTATTCATCCTCAGTGGTCACTCTAACAAGAGCAAAAGGAGGAAAAATCAAGGCACGGAGTTAAGTGAATTTTTAGAAGTGGGGAGGAGTTTTGGGGGGGATGCTCAAAGTGCACTTGGCCTACCTCACAGTTTTAAGAAATAATCATAGGATATTGATCATGGAAGCGATTAGGAATCTACAAAGTCATCCTTTTTGAAACTTCCTAATAGGCATGGTCTTAAAATACTCCCTTATTTTAAGGTAGCTCATAGCTGTCCTTAAATCCAAGACATTACTAAATGCCTAGCTAATATATGTATATGTACTGAGAAATATACAGTTTTTATTTTGAATGAAAATCAGAATCAAACACTTGACCTGACAAATGCCTAAAAACTAAAACTCTAAATCCAGTTCAGGCACCAACTGGATGTGTGATCTTGGTCAAGCCTTCATCGGTTTCCCTATCTCTGTACAATAAATAGACCCTTCAGCTCTGCATGCCTCATGAAACCTCCAAAGGAAAAGACAGCTACATTATATCTCGTCAGCAGTTCTTACCCACCAAGCAACTGTTAATGAGGGTGCCAGGTGAGCCACTATCTTTGCTGGGAAGGTTTAAGTACGTCGTTCGGATCTAAAAAGCATCTCATAAAGGCGCTTCCAGCCCTCAACTACTTCTATAAAATTTTATAACCACAAGCGTCTGACCTCGCAGCTCATCAGGCGTAAAACTGCAGTGTCTGGCTCCCTTAACCCCACCAGCCCTTTAACCCTGGTTAAAGAGGCCCAGCGGGGTGAAAATTAAGTGCCACCAATCAGATACTACCCCACACTTGAAAATTGCCACGAAATTCTTCCTCCCTCCCTTTTCTCAAATAAATGGCATTCCTATAGAAATGGACGCCCACGGGTGTCCGCGGACACCGGAACGGCCGCGGGGGCCCCCGCGGTACCTGATTGAAGTGCAGCTGCCCGGGCTCGGTGACACCTTCCGCGGGGGCGGCTCCCAGCTGCTCCAGCAGGCGCGCGAGCTGCGCCGCCGACAGGCTCCGATTCGCGCCGAACAAGCTCAGTACATCCTCGCTGAAGGCGAGCCCGGGCCCCGCAGCCGTCCCTCCGATGCCCGCAGCTGCCAGCAGCAGGAGCCCAGCCACCGCCCGGCCCGGGGCCATCCTGGCCGGGGCCGCCTTTCGAGGGCCTGAAACGGGCTGGAGCGCACGGGGACGCTCTGGGCGCACCTGCGCGGGTGCCCAGGAGCCCGCGCTCGGATCACTCGTCGGCGCGGGTCCGAGTCAGCTGTGACGCGGCCGCCCCTGGTCGTCCGCCGCCTTCGCGAGAGCAGCAGCCCGCGACCTGCGGGGCATTGAAGTGGTGGTGCAGCCGGGGGGGGCGGGGAGCGATAGGCACAGCGGGCCCCCGGGCCTCCTGGAGAGCCTAAGATAAAGAGGACAAAGGGGGACAGAGATAAAGGCCAGCGGGCCACCGCCGGCCAGCCCCGGGAGCTCTGCGTGGCCCGAGCCCTCGAACGCCCGGCCGGGCAAGGAGCCAACTGCCCCGGAGCCGGGTTTGCAAATGTCCCAGGATTTGCATAGTGTGGTGACACGCTCCTCCCGGGTATAAAGCCCCAAACCAAGCAATTTCTTAGGAAGAACTAAAACCACTTTCACTGTAGAACCCCGCCTCCTCTTCCTGTCTTGCCGCTAAATTCCCGCAGAGGAAACTTGGAAGGGGTGAGGCAGGCAGTCCCCAAGGGGCTGCAGGAAATAGCCCCTTCGAAGTCCTGGGCTTTGCGTCTAAACGGGACCCTCCCTCTCCCAGATTTCTTCTCTGGGCTTGGCAAGCTAGCCTGCTAACCTCTCACCTCGCCTGTCTCTGTATCTGCGTCTCTGTGTGTGTCCACGTGAGTCTCAGCCTCTCTCTCTCTCTCTCTCTCTCTCTCTCTCTCTCTCCCTCTCTCAAAACTATCTCTGGCTAGTCAGCTCTGAAACTCCGAGATCGGCCCTGAGCCTTTTACAGATGAGAGGCGGGCTCTGTCCCCTCCTCTCTAGCACGTGGTGACTCACACACACTCCCCCAGCCTGAACTCCCACGCTCGTCCACGCCGGGGCGCAGGGCCGCTGGCCTTTCCCCTTCGCGGGCATTGTGCATTCCTCGTGCGACCCGGCTCCCCACCCGCACCGGGGGGTGGGGGGGGGGTGGTTACCTGAAAGCCACGTCCCTGTCGGCGTCCCCGCCTCCTTTCTGGTCTCCGCGATTTCTTTGTTACCTTGATGAAACCAACTTCCTGGAATGGAGTCAAGAGCCCCATGCATTGTCTAAGAGGTTAGCAGGAATTGCTTTTTTGTCTTACTTCGTAAACTCCAGAGGAAAAAAGGAAACCAAATCTCCAGCGTGGTGGCGGGCAAACTGAGCTCGCATTGCCCAAGCCGGCCCTTCCTGACGCCGCACAGGATATCCGCAGATCAGAATGAATGTTTGTTTGTTCAAATGAGGGTTCAAGAAAAGCTGACTTAGGTGTGAGGTCAACAAGTTTGTGCAAAGTGAAGGCGGTGTTTGGGGACAAAGGTTGTGTCTGGTGGATATGATTGTCCAGAAATAAAGTAAACCTGCTACATGGCTGAATACAATAGGAAGAATTCGAAGTGTTCTTGCCTCCCATGGGGAGAGTACACAGCCTCCTAAAACAAACTTTTAAGAGACCCTAAAGGCAGAATAAGGCAAGAAGATGAGGAAGGGGACAAAATCTCCTCCCCCATGAGAAACAGATGTGAATGTGAAAAATAGAGACTGAGAGAGAAAATTCCAGAAGGATGAGGATTTGGGTGAACATAACCGAAGAGCTATTATACAGAAAATGTTTAACTGTGTTCTAAGCACAGAGAGTAGAAGGCAGCAGTTACCACACAAAATGACCAAGAAGAAGGTTTCTGAGGAATATGAAGCACAAGTGCTTTGGAGGTAGTGATTGCCCCGTGATTGAAGGTGTTTCAAAGCCACAGGTAAGCTATATAAAGATTCCTGCCTTGGAGAGAAATCAGCAAAATGATCCTAATGGTGTGTCCCTTCCAATTATAAAATCTATACATTTGTTAATAATAATTTGCAAGATTACAATGATACAAAAAGGGCAAATATTTCACCCAAAGGCCAGAAGTAAACTCATATCACAGTTAAGCTCTTCAATTACACAGATGATGGGATTCTTCAAGATTTTTATTGAATTCTTAAAAAAAAAAGTTTATTTATTCAGAGACAGAGAAAGAATGGGGAGAGGCAGAGAGACAGAGGGAGAGAACAAGAAAATCCCAAGCATGGAGCCTGATGTGAGGCTCAAACTCACAAACCCGTGAGATCATGACCTAAGCCAAAATCAAGAGTTGAAGGCTTAACCGACTGAACCACTCAGATGCTCAATTTTTGCTGGATTCTTAAGCATAGTTTGCTGCCTATTTTTCCATTTGACCTCAATGACTCAAGGTGATTCTTGGAAATTAATAAATGCTCTAGATCTTTCATCCACACCCAAGTTGTTCATTCCCAGCTTGAATTGCAACATTGATAAGATGTTGGATTTTCCACAAATATAAATGGGTTTTAAGTAATATAAAATTCAGGGATGCCTGGGTGACTCAGTTAGTTAAGCATCTGACTCTTGATTTCAATTCAGGTAAAGATCCCATGGTCGTAGGATCAAACCCCCTGTGAGCTCCATGCTAAGCAAGAGGCCTGCTCAAGTTTCTTCTCTGCCTCCCTCAGCCCCACTTACACATGCACATTCTCTCTCTCTCTCTCTCTCCACCTTTCTCTCTCTCTAAAATAATAATAATACAAATTTTATATTATGAATTTTTTAAATAAAATTTTTGTATTAGTTACTCATGTCTGTATACATTCATTTTACCTGCCCATCAACCCCAAAAGATAATAAATCTAAAAAATAATAATCAACTTGCTTGGAAACTTTACCAAATACAGTTTACATAATTTAGGCATGCAATTAAGACAGAGTGTTCAGAAAATTATGAGTTACTAACTATCAAATTGGTAAGGCTAATTTCTAGATTTTCCACTCTAATAAAATACAGTCACCAAAATACTACTCAGATAATGTTTTAGGGCCCAAAATATGGCATTGTATCAGCCATATCATTACTGAAAAAAGGCCTTTCAGTTTAAAATATAAAGCGGAATGCTATAAACTATAATTTCTTTCAGAAACTTGCCTTAAAGTGGACATAATTTTAAATGATAATATTTAAGGGAGAATCCCAGAAACACCAGCCAGGATCATGAAAGATGCTTTCTCTTTGGGACAATGTCACCTGGGAAACTTGGTGATAGGTTCAATCCCCTCATCTATGAAACAAGAAAGTTGGGATAGAAGAACAAATATCCATTCCAGCCTTATTTCTAAATGTCTAATTTAGGATTCCTGTATCAGAACAAAATGTGAAACACTATAAGAAAAATAAAAGTTCAATTCTCCAATGGAAAGGACATTGAAAGTCAAGTCTGACTTTTTCTAATAGCTTCAAATTCTTCTCAGTCCGCGTCTTTTGTTACTATTGCAAATAAGGAGCAAATTGGCATCTTTTAAACTTTTTCATGCATTAATTTCCCCGTGGAAGGACGAATAAGCAAATCAAAGAGATAGGACCTCCCTTTCCCTTCTTCCCCTTGCCTTCTCTTCTGCCCCCTCCAGTCTTAAAGCCATGAGATGGAGCATAGCATGCTAGATAGTATCTGTGGGGAGGGCATTCACTGCAGCCTAGAGAGGGGTGTTAGAACCTGAACAAGAGAAGAAGGGTATCCAAGTAGGAAGGAAACTCAGTGTGGGCAGTTAGAGCCCATGTAGGGTGACAAAGGGATCCAGATGGCAAAGGGAACATCAGAAGATGCATCCCAAATGGGGCAAGAATATGTGCATGCACCCCAGCACACAATGTCAGCACCCAGGTATGATGAGGGGAGCATTCTTTCCAGTACAGTTTGTCAGAGCTCTGTCTAGAAGAGTGAGTGAGTCCATGGTGGCCTCGTGTGGTGTCTCAGGGCCAGAGCAAAGATAAGATGTCACACATGGGTTGAGGGACAGAGAGGCAGCTGAGTGTGGAGAGTGAGAGTCTGGATGGGTGGTAAAGTCATCGTGCTTGATGGTGGACCTGCACAGAATGTCAGGGATGGAGAAGGGTGAGGAGAGGAAATAGCATGAGGCACCAGACTCTGTGCGGTGAGCAGAGAGCTGCCTCATGTGGCATGTATGATAGTGTGATTTTTTTTTTTTTATTATTCTCCGGTTCACTAACATATGGTGTAGTCTTGACTTCAAGAGTAGATAAGATTGATAGTGTGATTTATTATAAGAAATATGTTTTTGGTCTTCATCCCCATTTCTAGCACACAGCTCCTAAAACCCTTGGGATTTTCTAAGTTATGAGAGTGACAAAGGTGCCTCTTGTTATGTTACTTAGGTGACTTTTGGACCACACCAGAGGATGGGGGCTGTTTGCCAAGAGAATCAACCATGTGATTATAAGGCTGCAACTTTCCATCCCACTCCCCTGACCTCTGGGGTCAGGGACATTGACTCAATCGCCAATAACCAATGATTTAATCAACCTTACCTAAAGTAGTGGAGTTTCCATAAAAACCCAAAAGGACAGGGGCATTTGGGTGGCTTAGTCAGTTGAGGCTCCAACTTTGACTCAGGTTCTGATCTCACAGTTCACGAGTTTGAGCCTTGCATCAGGCTCACTACTGTCAGCATGGAGCCCATTTCAGATCCTCTGTCTCCCTCTCTCTCTGCCCTCTTCTCATGCTCCCTCTCTCAACAATAAATAATAAACATTTAAAAAAGAAAAGCCAAAAGGACTAAGTTTGGAGAACTTCCTGATTGGTGAATTCATGGAGATTCATGGAGAATGGTACCCCTGGAGAAAGCATAGAAGCTCCAAGTCCTTTTTTCATACCTTGTCCTGTGCATCTCTTTCATCTGGCTGTCCCTGATCCTTTTATAATAAACTGGGCATCTAGTAAGTAAAGTGTTTCTTGGAGTTCTGTGAGTCATTGAACCCTCCAATCTATAGTCAGTAGGTCAGTGCAAAGATATCAAGTCAGACTTTGTAACTGCCAGGGTAGAGGGTAATCTCATAGGACTGAGCCCTTAATCTATGGGATCTGGTGCTATCGCCAGATAGA